AGTGTCTAATACCGCGTTATTTTACCTCTTTTACAATCAAATGATTGTTGGAAAGAAAAAAAAAATCGGCCACAAGAAGAAAATTTAGAGCTTTGAAAAGACAAAATCGTCAATGAATATTTTTCTTATTTTTGACTTGTACATGTGCATTGATATTACAGATCACTTGNTCTCTTTTACAATCAAATGATTGTTGGAAAGAAAAAAAAAATCGGCCAAAAGAAGAAAATTTAGAGCTTTGAAAAGACAAAATCGTCCATGAATATTTTTCTTATTTTTGACTTGTACATGTGCATTGATATTACAGATCACTTGTATGTGTAGTTATAGTCAAAAAATTGACAATCATTATCTATTTAGAGTGATACGAAACAAAATTAATATTTTAGGGGGCAATGTAAAAAATTTTATAGTTAAGGATATAAAATAACATAAAATATAATTTATCCAAAATTGAATAGAAAATGCATTGACAGGGTGTCACTCCAGCAACCTTTAGAGAGGCATGTCCTTCCTAATTTTCCCCGAAGGCTTTACGGAAGGGTGAAGTTTGAGCAGGCTCCATCCAACGATGGGGATTGAACTCTACCCTCTGTTTTAATGGCTCCTAAGTTTCAATTATGTGTGCCATGGCCCTCCCAAGTTTTAAAAATCTCATTATTCAACCATTATTTAACAATAATTTTCTTTTCCTCTCAATTTCCACCGAATTTTGAATCTGACTCCATTAGGGTTAACATTTCTAAACATGATTCATCAATTTAATACAAAATCAACAACAAACAAATAAAACTTTTAAGAATTTTGCGTTAATACAAATTCAATTAAACATGATATACGCACAATATAAATATATCCTACACAATTTGAATATTATTATATACAATTATAATTACATTAAATATTTATATAAAAAGGTTCCACGACTTAAAAATACAAGACACGAAGACTAATTGAATCCCTAAATCGCATCCCGACACCACTACTTTGCAATTGGATCTTTAGGTTGCGAGTTCGAATTTTGTTGTTTCTTCGTGCATAATCCTTCAGAGCAAAGAAAATTAATTTTTAGAAGTAAAATCAGATGCTTTTAGGAGCACCAAAGTTTTCTGCTCTCAATCAATCGAGTCCGTACATTTCATATTTGGTTTTCCACTGTGATGATCTTACGGCTGTCCCATTGATGCGAAAAACAAAAGACGAAGCAATGATGGAACCGACGTCGTATAGCTCTTCTAATTCCCTAGCTCCACCGTCACCGTTGTACTTAGCGTAATCAAATCAAATTACTCAAAATACAAACTACAAAAAAGTTTCCTTCAACAACAGGAGAAGAAGAACCCAAACTTTCTTCTCTTTGATTACGTGCGGTAATCAGAAACCCTGATCAGTTTCTCTCTAAGAAACCCTACTCTCTCTCTCGATTTTGACAGCTTCCACTTTTGTCGTAGACTCAAGTAATCGAAAGCGACCCAATTCGCCTGTGGTGTATTTTCGTTTCCAATTCTTTTGGGTATATAAAAATATAGTTTTCTTTGTTTAATGCTGTATTTTATTGTATTTATATGTTTGTGTATGTGCGTAGCTAATAGTATTGTGGTACGCATGTTTTACGAAAAGGGGTTTGTGATGTTTTTTCGATGTTTGAAATTTGCAGAGAAAGATCGAAGTTTGAGTCTTGCCATGGCCAAGAGTTCCTTCAAGCTTGATCATCCCTTGGGTATGTTTTTTGTGGTCTTTCAATCTAATTTTCCTTGTGATTTGTGGTACAATTCTGTTATTTATCAACTTTTTGTGAGAAGAAAAAAGAAGCAGCATTTGGGTGTTATTGAACTTGTTGTTTTGATGATTGATTCTAGATCTTAGTTGTCACAGGGAACATGGGACTCTAATATTTTTGTTTTAGGTTTCTTTTTTATTTGTATGTGGATACTATCAGCTCAGATATTAACTGTGAGTGGTATTGAAGATGTTTATTAAGATGGAATTAAGCTGTTGGGCTTTGTATTCGTGGGTGACAAAAATCGAAAAAGATGGGTTTTCTAGGATACAAATTGTATGCGTTCATAAATACTTTTTTTACTCAAAGATTAGCCTTGTTCTTGTGCACAAGGTTGCATGCAGATTTTTTCTTGGCTATTGTATGTGAACTCGGTTTTGCATGTCATCCTAGGTCTTGTAATTGTGCTTGTGGTGATGTTTAATTTCCAATATATTGTTGAAAATTAATTTCAACTTGGAGATTGACAGATTGTAGTATGATGTTGGGTAAAAATTTGCATGTATTCCCTTGTGTGTGTTCATAAAATAAAAATCAACTTGGAGAGCTTTCTTTTCGCTTTGATTCATCTCAACTTTTCTTTGATTTGATACAGTTATTTCAATATGTCCCCTTTTAGGAAGACTGGGAAAGGGGTGAAAGGTATAGTTATGCTTAAATTCAATTTCTGTACGCAGAGAGGAGGCAGTCAGAATCTGGTCGCATCAGAGAGAAGTATCCCGATAGAATACCGGTAAGATGACTTTTTGTTCTTAATTGAAAATATTAGCAACTTCTGGGTTTGTTTCGACTTGTTTGGCGCTGTTTTCTTACATGTTTTCCATGAAGGTTATTGTGGAGAAGGCTGAAAGGAGTGACATTCCTGACATTGATAAAAAGAAGTAGGTTCATGTGCCCTTCTATAATGTCTTTTATGTTCATTACTTGAAAGTAGATGTGATTGCATATTACCTTTTTTGGTATGTTGTGATCACTATTTTTGGTGTAATCTCTTATTCCCATATGTTTCCCTTTGTGTATTGGTACTTTTTTGTGAAAATTTCAGCATATCATGTATAAAAATATATTAAATGGGGGCAAGCAGAAAGAATAATCGCACTCTGCCAACTCAAAAGTCACAACCTTTGGGGGTTTGGAGTTTCTTCTACTGATCGGTGGAAGTGTTCATTCACGCATAACTTGATTGTCACAGAGGTGAAGGGTCGGCTGTGTGACATTTAGAGTGTGCCATACTCTCCCGCAGTAGATGCGGATTCAAATCATATCCCCCTTCCCATAAAAGACCGTATACTGACTTGCAAAAAAGTATAATAATATCAGACTTTATGTTGTCCTCTATTTTGCATTTCTAACTGCCAAGCACATATCGTGGTTTTAATTTTTTGTTTGGACAAGTGTGGTTAACAAAACATTGTTTTCCATCAGAAATGGTCGAGCATATGAGTTACTCTGATAGTATTTTATGTGTTTCATTTTCTAGACAAAACCTTTAGTAGAAGTAATGCTAGATGCTTGGCTGCAGAGTGTCATTGAGACCCCATAACATAAGAATACAAGACTGTGCATAACCCCCTTTAGAGATTGGGGCTACTTTCTTGTGAATGAGCAAGTAATTGAAGGAAGTTTTGAGGGTAATTTGAAATTAAATTTGTTGTTAGGAGTGATGGCTGAAAAGTTTGGTATTGTCTGCTGCTGAAATTGTGCATGTTACCTAGTTTAAGTGTGGTTTATGGTGCATTCTTTTATGTCTAGGTAGGTACGTTTAATTGGATGACTTTCTATTATGTATGTGATGCCTGGATTGCAGTGTACTTTTATGAGTAATATGGGTGGATATATTTTTCTCTTTTGTGTTTGGGAGGGAAGAGTGGGTGAGGTTGAGCTAATCTGCCTGTGCTTGTAGCAGTTATGAGCACTGGAGGTAGGTAGTGATGCTGATTTTATTAGGTTCTGTTAAAACTAAAATGAAAAACTAAACTAGTTTTTACTTTCAGAAGGAAGGTCAAGGTCGGGTCTAATTAATTTTCTTTGCTTTCCTGTGTGTATCAGAATGGGATTGTCNCAATATGGGTGGATATATTTTTGTCTTTTGTGTTTGGGAGGGAAGAGTGGGTGTGAGGTTGAGCTAATCTGCCTGTGCTTGTAGCAGTTATGAGCACTGGAGGTAGGTANTAATATGGGTGGATATATTTTTCTCTTTTGTGTTTGGGAGGGAAGAGTGGGTGAGGTTGAGCTAATCTGCCTGTGCTTGTAGCAGTTATGAGCACTGGAGGTAGGTAGTGATGCTGATTTTATTAGGTTCTGTTAAAACTAAAATGAAAAACTAAACTAGTTTTTACTTTCAGAAGGAAGGTCAAGGTCGGGTCTAATTAATTTTCTTTGCTTTCCTGTGTGTATCAGAATGGGATTGTCACCTAGATTTTGAGACTGATGTAATGAATATATTTCTATAACAGAAGCAAGTAGAATCCTGTTCTTGAGATTTACCATGTGAATATGTGGAAGAACATCAACGTTTGCAAGGCAGACCAACTTTGTTAAAAGCCGTTTCATAACTAATTGGCAATATATGTCCTTTGTTCCTGTAGATCTGTATCTGAATAAAATAATGTACACATGTGAAAGATAGGTCAATGACTTATAACACTTCTTTCAGCTTTTAACTGAGTGTAATAACACGTGCTTGATTGACAGCTGCTATTTATGAATGTTGTCTATAAGACTGATTGTTTATGTGCCTTTGCACACCTGTTCATATTAAAATTTGTGTGTTCTTAAGTCGATTTTCTAATGTTTAGTGTTCAAGAGCTATTGAGTTACTGTGATATGACACGAATCAATGATGCTTGTCATATGCCTAAATGCTTGCAATGCATTATCTCCTTTCTGAAATAAGTTTTGTCTTTGATATTTTCTGTTGGCCATATATAAGTACCATTGAGGTCATGGATGTCAAGCAAAGTGTTGGTTTAGAGCTTTTACTATGCACATGTCTCTCTTTTTTATGATTGCAGATACCTTGTCCCAGCTGATTTAACTATCGGGCAGTTTGTTTATGTGGTTCGAAAGAGGATTAAGCTCGGTGCTGAGAAGGCTATATTTGTGTTTGTCAAGAACATGCTACCTCCCACAGGTGAGTGAGGAGGATCTGTTGTCCCTATGTCTAATGAAAATCTCAAGTTGTTTTGTAATGTTATCTTGCTGTGTTGCAGCTGCCTTGATGTCTGCCATTTACGAGGAAAACAAGGATGAAGATGGATTCCTTTACATGACTTACAGTGGCGAGAACACATTTGGCTCCGTAGAAGTGCTGTGATTATTAGCTGTCCACATGAAACTTTCCAGTGTAAATTCTTTCTCACCTATTTTTCTTTTAATGCATTCCTTATCAGACAGTCGACTTCTGTTCAAATTTGGATCAAGTGGAATTAATTTGATGCTGGAAGAAGTTTAACCATATATGGTTTCTTACATATTTGGTTTGAATGGATGAAAATTTAGTCAATTCTTCGATTTCTTCATGTTTTTTTTTTTTTTTATAATTTTTAAGCAATTTTTCTGTCTTGAGGTGCCAATGGCATAAGATGTTGATTGCAGTGTTTCATATGTTTTTCTATTGTTCAATATTCATTCTGGTATCAATCCTTTTTTTTTTTTTTTCGTTCAACGGTAAGATGTGTCTAAGCCATCTTATGCTTACCTCGACTAATCTCCTCCTCAGTTCGGTCAAAGACATGTTATTCACGTCGATTTTAGACTATTTATAAGAAATAAATCTCTCATGACCTGGTCCCAAACAGTTGTCAAGATTTTGAACATCGAAAGTCTCATTTTCTAGCTCGTCCTAAGATTTTCTTCATTTGATACGGTCCTCTAAAGGGAAAAAGTACATTAAAATGCTAAACAAAAAAATATATTTCATACAGACGGTGTTCAAGTGTCCAGTTTANTATATGCCTAAATGCTTGCAATTCATTATCTCCTTTCTGAAATAAGTTGTCTTTGATATTTTCTGTTGGCCATATATAAGTACCATTGAGGTCATGGATGTCAAGCAAAGTGTTGGTTTAGAGCTTTTACTATGCACATGTCTCTCTTTTTTATGATTGCAGATACCTTGTCCCAGCTGATTTAACTATCGGGCAGTTTGTTTATGTGGTTCGAAAGAGGATTAAGCTCGGTGCTGAGAAGGCTATATTTGTGTTTGTCAAGAACATGCTACCTCCCACAGGTGAGTGAGGAGGATCTGTTGTCCCTATGTCTAATGAAAATCTCAAGTTGTTTTGTAATGTTATCTTGCTGTGTTGCAGCTGCCTTGATGTCTGCCATTTACGAGGAAAACAAGGATGAAGATGGATTCCTTTACATGACTTACAGTGGCGAGAACACATTTGGCTCCGTAGAAGTGCTGTGATTATTAGCTGTCCACATGAAACTTTCCAGTGTAAATTCTTTCTCACCTATTTTTCTTTTAATGCATTCCTTATCAGACAGTCGACTTCTGTTCAAATTTGGATCAAGTGGAATTAATTTGATGCTGGAAGAAGTTTAACCATATATGGTTTCTTACATATTTGGTTTGAATGGATGAAAATTTAGTCAATTCTTCGATTTCTTCATGTTTTTTTTTTTATAATTTTTATGCAATTTTTCTGTCTTGAGGTGCCAATGGTATAAGATGTTGATTGCAGTGTTTCATATGTTTTTCTATTGTTCAATATTCATTCTGGTATCAATCCTTTTTTTTTTTTTTTCGTTCAACGGTAAGATGTGTCTAAGCCATCTTATGCTTACCTCGACTAATCTCCTCCTCAGTTCGGTCAAAGACATGTTATTCACGTTGATTTTAGAGTATTTATAAGGAATAAATCTCTCATGACCTGGTCCCAAACAATTGTCAAGATTTTGAACATCGAAAGTCTCATTTTCTAGCTCGTCCTAAGATTTTCTTCATTTGATATGGTCCTCTAAAGGGAAAAAGTACATTAAAATGCTAAACAAAAAAATATATTTCATACAGACGGTGTTCAAGTGTCCAGTTTAGGATTGGCACTCTGATCGTTGAATAGTGAAATAAATGTATTTTGGGAACGGAAAAGTTTGCGATACCATCTCAGACCCATGAACAACAAATAGACAAAGTTACAATTCTGTGAGTTCAAGTTACGATTCAATGAGTGTCACAATTAAATACGGTCCAAACATTTGGGCATTCGTTTCAAACTTTTAACTCGATCTGAAATTGGCCTGTTCGAGTCGCAATTGAAGTATCCCTTCGATCCTACGAAGTCCACTTGAATGCTTTTCTTACTCTTCTTTAGTCCATAGATGGTAAAACAGAGAATATATATATAAGCGTCAGAGGAAATTGGTCAGTTAAAAATAGTGCAAAATTTTAGTCAACATAGTAGTACTACACTCTTGACCCCATTGATATGCTCATTTGATCGACAATTAGATATTTCTTCTATCTACAAACTGTATTTGTCACCTGAAAAACACATACCACTTCATCATATTGAATCTGTAGACACTCTTCTTTCTTTCTTTCACTTGCTTCTCCTAGTGGACTTGGATTTCTTCATTTTCTTGCCTTTGTCATCAAAGCTACTCCATGTGTATTCTCTGGGTATTGCAAACGGATCTACTTGTTGTGCCCCATTACAATGTTGCTTCCGACTACTGCTCCGGGACAACCACGAGGACGAGGAGGATGCCGAAGACAGTGAAAAGTAACTAGTGTCTGTTTCATCCTCCCCACCTCGTCCGTGGCCAAAATGCCGAGGGCTTGAGAGTGGTGTGTAAAACTGTTCGATTGGTTGAAGCTCAACGAACTTTGTGAACGTTATCACCACCCGAACTGTCGGAACCACCGGTATTGCCACCTGGCCCGCCAGAAAATAAACCACCAACCGTTAGATCACTCCATCGAACAAAATTGATTCAAGAGTTAGTTTCCATTTTTCTTTTTCTCTTGGGAACACCATTNCAGAGGAAATTGGTCAGTTAAAAATAGTGCAAAATTTTAGTCAACATAGTAGTACTACACTCTTGACCCCATTGAAATGCTCATTTGATCGACAATTAGATATTTCTTCTATCTACAAACTGTATTTGTCACCTGAAAAACACATACCACTTCATCATATTGAATCTGTAGACACTCTTCTTTCTTTCTTTCACTTGCTTCTCCTAGTGGACTTGGATTTCTTCATTTTCTTGCCTTTGTCATCAAAGCTACTCCATGTGTATTCTCTGGGTATTGCAAACGGATCTACTTGTTGTGCCCCATTACAATGTTGCTTCCGACTACTGCTCCGGGACAACCACGAGGACGAGGAGGATGCCGAAGACAGTGAAAAGTAACTAGTGTCTGTTTCATCCTCCCCACCTCGTCCGTGGCCAAAATGCCGAGGGCTTGAGAGTGGTGTGTAAAACTGTTCGATTGGTTGAAGCTCAACGAACTTTGTGAACGTTATCACCACCCGAACTGTCGGAACCACCGGTATTGCCACCTGGCCCGCCAGAAAATAAACCACCAACCGTTAGATCACTCCATCGAACAAAATTGATTCAAGAGTTAGTTTCCATTTTTCTTTTTCTCTTGGGAACACCATTAAAAGTCACTAAACAGGAGGAGGATCAACATGAAAGTCACTGAACAGTAAGGATTTATTCCTAACATATAAATCCTTTATCCAGCATATGGTTGGGGTTTGACTGCTTAGGATTAATAATTTCACATACAACTCTGAAATTATCGAGAATAGGTTTAGTTTTGATATTTTTTTTTGGTTCAACGGTCAGGATTGTCTAAGTTAACTTATGCACACTTCGACTAATTTCCTCCTCGATCTAGTTAAAGACAGATTATCCATAACAGGATTAAGGTATTCTTGAAGGATAAATCTTTAATGGTCCGACTCCAAGAGGTTGCTAAAATTTGAATTTAGGACATCTGAATTTACAATTCATTTTTATTTTTTCATTTGAGCTACTAAAGTTTTGATGAATTTGACTCATTAGCCAATTGACATATCAACCTAATAAAAAATGTATAATGAATACAGCTTTAACTTGAGACAGATGCAATACGAACTTGATTATGTATAATTAGGGATACTTTGCATTCGAAGGCAAAGCACAAAAATGAGTTACAAGTGGATTGGCGAAGTGAGAGGGATGTTAGTTGTCGTTGGATGAGTCTATTTAAAATCGTCAGATAAACTTATTGAAGACTGATATATTTTATATTATAGATTTTAAATTTAATGTTTTTATATATATTAAACAAATACTAACGCTCTAAACAGAATTAGGGTTGATATGATCAGATACATTCACAACCCATAGGAAGATAAAAAGGAAGGGACTGACCACAGGGTTAGGGCGGTAGTGGTGGTCCAAATGCAACGACTCATGTGATGAATTTAAAGATTGCTCTTTATGGGGCGATCTGACGGTGATGGACATAGGTCCCACGCAGGTCTGATTGTGGGTCCATCATCTAAACCTAAGATGATTTGGGTTCAAATAACGCCCAATAAGATGCTTCCACGTCACTTCATGATNTTTGAATTTAAGACATCTGAATTTACAATTCATTTTTATTTTTTCATTTGAGCTACTCAAGTTTTGATGAATTTGACTCATTAGCCAATTGACATATCAACCTAATAAAAAATGTATAATGAATACAGCTTTAACTTGAGACAGATACAATACGAACTTGATTATGTATAATTAGGGATACTTTGCATTCGAAGGCAAAGCACAAAAATGAGTTACAAGTGAATTGGCGAAGTAAGAGGGATGTTAGTTGTCGTTGGATGAGTCTATTTAAAATCGTCAGATAAACTTATTGAAGACTGATATATTTTATATTATAGATTTTAAATTTAATGTTTTTATATATATTAAACAAATACTAACGCTCTAAACACAATTAGGGTTGATATGATCAGATACATTCACAACCCATAGGAAGATAAAAAGGAAGGGACTGACCACAGGGTTAGGGCGGTAGTGGTGGTCCAAATGCAACGACTCATGTGATGAATTTAAAGATTGCTCTTTATGGGGCGATCTGACGGTGATGGACATAGGTCCCACGCAGGTCTGATTGTGGGTCCATCATCTAAACCTAAGATGATTTGGGTTCAAATAACGCCCAATAAGATGCTTCCACGTCACTTCATGATAGAGGTCCCACTAAAGCTTCTTATGAGACATTGAGACACTTTGTCTCAGTCCTTAAGTAAATCATCAAAAGACGAAAAAAGCAAAAGCCAAAATAGAAACAACTCAAAATGAAGTTATTGTACGAACTCGTAATGTTATACCGATTTTGCCCTTACCTTAACGGGAAATGTCCCTGGAGGAAACGTCGTCGTTAATAGCTCCCTCATCCGTCTGACAGCTTTCACTTTGTTCGCCAAAATGTCTAGTAATGGCAGTAACTCCTCCGTTTTTAACGGAAATTGCTCCGTTAGCCACACTGACGGCCGTAAACTCTTAACATACTCTTTCTCCTTTGTATGCGGTGGCGCCACTGGTATCGCGGCCGCACAAGGCGGCGCTCTCCGCCTCGGCTCAGGCACAATGTCCACACTCTTCCTTGACACTGTAACGAACTCTCTCTCTTCTCTAACAAAACTACTATGTCTCCGCCGGTTATCACTGACACTGAACCGTGGATTTTCTGCGACGATAAAACCTTCTTCGGAGTCCTCGTCAAGTTCTAATGGTAAAATTTGCTCGCTTCCGGCGACGTCACCTTCATTGCTGGAGATTTTCCGAGATCGAAAACTGAACACAACATTGTGTACTTCGTAAACCCTAGCTTTCCACTCTCCAACAGCCTCTATCTTCTCTTGCCTTCTCCAATTCGTACGGCCAACCAATTCGGCTCTCGTTACATCCATTCCAGGACGATAAACACTAGTTTGAGAGCAAAAGCTTGCAATATCGGAGTCGCTCAGCGGAGCGCCAGCATTTTCAAAAGCATCAAAGATTTTCTTATCATCGTGATTCAATACAAGCAACGAACCTGAAGGGATGTCAAATTTGGAATCGCCATCGCCGAGGAAGAGGAAGCTTTGGTTAGCGCGCTGAATTTTCAATCCGTCGTAGCCTGCTAACGAAGTATCTGCTCGGAGGTTTCCGTCTCGTTTCCAGATCTTATAGGTGTCGGACGGAGCAATTTTTCCAACGAATGGAACAATCGAGCTTTCAAAGTGAAATGAAATTTCCATGTAGAAATCTCGCATTCGACGAAGAACGGCTATAACCCGCGGCAAACGGCGTCGCCACTTCGACCAGGCGGCGATGTGGTGGTGCTGAACGAGAATTTTAACAATGTCCGCACAACGACGAATTAAGGCCTCCTGTAAGGGGTTCCAACCGGCGGCATTTTGGAGAGAGATATCAGCGCCGGCAATGGAAAGCGTACGGACTGATACGACGTCGTTGAGGCGGACTGCGAGGTGGAGAGGAGTCTCGCGGTGGCGGTTGTCGCGGCGATCGAGGACACCGGTGATCAAATCCGCTAGTTTCTCTTGACCGAGTGAGTCGGACTCGGTGTGGATCTGAGTCGGGTCGGTGAGTTTGGGGAGGGAGGAGACAATCTTCGAGAGGGTGGCGTTGTCGCCGACTGCGACGGCGAAGTGTACTGGGCTGTGGGAGTAGTCGTCGGGCTTGATCGCCGTCGACGACGACGACGTCGCCGTGCTAGTCTTCGACGACATTGTATGTGTACGTGAGAATGTTCGTTCTCTGCGAGCCCAAGTCTTTTCGTATGGAGTGAAGGTATGGGAATGGAATGTTATTGAAAAACGAGAAAGGAAAAGGGTAATTTTGTCTTTTCAAGTCGAAATTGCCAATCGACGCGACTTTTGGTGGGACTTTACTGCAGAGAGAGAGCGAGAGTGACGCTGTGGGATTATTTTTTTCTGACCGTTTTTCAGTATTCTCTACTGTTGTCTTTTGTCGTTTTGTTTTTTAATAATAATAGTTTTTGATTTTAATAATTATAAATAATTAATTAATTAAAAAATAAAAAAATTTCAAATTCAAAATATCTGAGTTAATAGCTTATTTATTTATGTCTCAATTGAGCTACTCATGGGTTTTTTTTTTTTTTTGATACAATTGAAAGGTATATACAGATAAAAAATAAAAATTCTTTGGCCAAGGGCTTGCTTCTACAAAATTTTGTGCAATTTGAGTTGACCAAATCTTTGGATGGTGGGAAGACTTAACGACCTTGTTTGAAAATTGTAACGGAATTGCATTGATTTGCGTGTGGTTTGGTGGGCCTATTTGCCTAGTGGGGTGTCTTTTAATGGGCCCAATAGGGTGGTGGTTGTGTGAGACAGTGTCCGTCACCGTAGGCCCGGGACTAGGGCTACTGGTAAAAAGGGCCGTGTCTGGGTCAATCCAGACCAAAACCCACAAATCGTTTTTTCATTTCCACAAGGCGACACCAGGTTTCCATGGATGATTTATGAAGTAGTTAGCTTTGGTGTGTGTGCAAAGTCTGGTTTTGGGTGCTTTGTTGGTGCCCACTTTAGAAAATTAGAGGTTTCTGCTAAATTTAAATTTAAATTACTGTTGTCTTTCTTTTTTGTTTTCAGTGTTCATACAAGAGGAGGGACCTTGGTGAGACTCGAACTTTATACTAAGAGATAAAAGGATAAAGACACTAATCAGTAGGTCATTTCTAGTTGGCTGGTTGCCTTTCCTTACTTGAAACCAGCCATAATATGTCACAGAAAGCAGGGGTCCCTTGATCTGGACAATTCTAGGAATTGTGGAGAAGAAGCTGAGCCACAGCTTCTTCAAGGACTACCTTGCAAGGCTAAATACTCCTGGGTGACCGATAGCGAAGTAATACCGTGAGGAAAGGGGCTAAAAAATCTTAACCACAATATTGATGATATGAGAATCGAGTCGTATCTTATCATTTCGTGTTTCATCATGTTTTCATAGTGTCGTTTTAGTTCATACCAGGTTTGGGTTAATAATAAGAAAAAAACTATGTATTATTATTATGAGTGTTACTTGATTAATGTGAATTTTGAGTTCGTGTTGTATTTTGTCATGTTCATGTCTATCTATAAAATTGACACCTTCCATAACCTGTCACTACTATTAGCCAAAGTTTCTAAGAACTGTGGGAAGAAGAAGTTGAGTCAGGCTTCTTCATTCCTCTTTCCTTTGGGGCTGAAAAGTCTTATCCATGTGCTTTCTGCTATCTCCAATGTGTATAAATAGGCGCACAGGCACAGCACAGCCATAGATTCTTCATATCAAACACACAAACACAATCATAAGTGCCTGCTAAAGTACTCACCTTCACATTTTCTCAGACCTGTTCCAAATTCTTCATGGCTTTCTTCTCTAACTTCCTCAGCTGCTTCTCTGATTCTGGTAAGGTAGCATGTGAAGGAGACGCTTGGTGTGCACCGAGTAATACAAGCAAAGCCTCAACAACTAATGATTCCAAGTCGAAGAATAGCCCTCCAATTCCGGCGACTAACTTCTCCATTGGAACACAGTTTTCGCAATTGTGAAACACGACACTACAAGGACATATCCAAGAATAGCCCTCCAATTCCGATCGCCTACTTCCCCATCGGAACACAATTTCGCTTATGACGCGTTTTTGTCAATCCATTTCAAGAATAACCCTCCAATTACGATCCCATATGTTTTTATCGGAACACAGTTTTCGCGCTATTTAAACATCGGACATTTCTCTAGACTCCTGTCATCTTCCGCAAGGATACACTGCTCAAGTCATTTCTGAGTGATATCTAAACCATCTTTTGNTTTCCACTCTCCAACAGCCTCTATCTTCTCTTGCCTTCTCCAATTCGTACGGCCAACCAATTCGGCTCTCGTTACATCCATTCCAGGACGATAAACACTAGTTTGAGAGCAAAAGCTTGCAATATCGGAGTCGCTCAGCGGAGCGCCAGCATTTTCAAAAGCATCAAAGATTTTCTTATCATCGTGATTCAATACAAGCAACGAACCTGAAGGGATGTCAAATTTGGAATCGCCATCGCCGAGGAAGAGGAAGCTTTGGTTAGCGCGCTGAATTTTCAATCCGTCGTAGCCTGCTAACGAAGTATCTGCTCGGAGGTTTCCGTCTCGTTTCCAGATCTTATAGGTGTCGGACGGAGCAATTTTTCCAACGAATGGAACAATCGAGCTTTCAAAGTGAAATGAAATTTCCATGTAGAAATCTCGCATTCGACGAAGAACGGCTATAACCCGCGGCAAACGGCGTCGCCACTTCGACCAGGCGGCGATGTGGTGGTGCTGAACGAGAATTTTAACAATGTCCGCACAACGACGAATTAAGGCCTCCTGTAAGGGGTTCCAACCGGCGGCATTTTGGAGAGAGATATCAGCGCCGGCAATGGAAAGCGTACGGACTGATACGACGTCGTTGAGGCGAACTGCGAGGTGGAGAGGAGTCTCGCGGTGGCGGTTGTCGCGGCGATCGAGGACACCGGTGATCAAATCCGCTAGTTTCTCTTGACCGAGTGAGTCGGACTCGGTGTGGATCTGAGTCGGGTCGGTGAGTTTGGGGAGGGAGGAGACAATCTTCGAGAGGGTGGCGTTGTCGCCGACTGCGACGGCGAAGTGTACTGGGCTGTGGGAGTAGTCGTCGGGCTTGATCGCCGTCGACGACGACGACGTCGCCGTGCTAGTCTTCGACGACATTGTATGTGTACGTGAGAATGTTCGTTCTCTGCGAGCCCAAGTCTTTTCGTATGGAGTGAAGGTATGGGAATGGAATGTTATTGAAAAACGAGAAAGGAAAAGGGTAATTTTGTCTTTTCAAGTCGAAATTGCCAATCGACGCGACTTTTGGTGGGACTTTACTGCAGAGAGAGAGAGCGAGAGTGACGCTGTGGGATTATTTTTTTCTGACCGTTTTTCAGTATTCTCTACTGTTGTCTTTTGTCGTTTTGTTTTTTAATAATAATAGTTTTTGATTTTAATAATTATAAATAATTAATTAATTAAAAAATAAAAAAATTTCAAATTCAAAATATCTGAGTTAATAGCTTATTTATTTATGTCTCAATTGAGCTACTCATGGGTTTTTTTTTTTTTTTGATACAATTGAAAGGTATATACAGATANCAAATAAATAATTAAAAAATAAAAAAATTTCAAATTCAAAATATCTGACTTAATAGCTTATTTATTTATGTCTCAATTGAGCTACTCATGGGTTTTTTTTTTTGATACAATTGAAAGGTATATACAGATAAAAAATAAAAATTCTTTGGCCAAGGGCTTGCTTCTACAAAATTTTGTGCAATTTGAGTTGACCAAATCTTTGGATGGTGGGAAGACTTAACGACCTTGTTTGAAAATTGTAACGGAATTGCATTGATTTGCGTGTGGTTTGGTGGGCCTATTTGCCTAGTGGGGTGTCTTTTAATGGGCCCAATAGGGTGGTGGTTGTGTGAGACAGTGTCCGTCACCGTAGGCCCGGGACTAGGGCTACTGGTAAAAAGGGCCGTGTCTGGGTCAATCCAGACCAAAACCCACAAATCGATTTTTCATTTCCACAAGGCGACACCAGGTTTCCATGGATGATTTATGAAGTAGTTAGCTTTGGTGTGTGTGCAAAGTCTGGTTTTGGGTGCTTTGTTGGTGCCCACTTTAGAAAATTAGAGGTTTCTGCTAAATTTAAATTTAAATTACTGTTGTCTTTCTTTTTTGTTTTCAGTGTTCATACAAGAGGAGGGACCTTGGTGAGACTCGAACTTTATACTAAGAGATAAAAGGATAAAGACACTAATCAGTAGGTCATTTCTAGTTGGCTGGTTGCCTTTCCTTACTTGAAACCAGCCATAATATGTCACAAAAAGCAGGGGTCCCTTGATTTGGACAATTCTAGGAATTGTGGAGAAGAAGCTGAGCCACAGCTTCTTCAAGGACCACCTTGCAAGACTAAATACTCTTGGGTGACCGATAGCGAAGTAATACCGTAAGGGAAGGGGCTAAAAAATCTTAACCACAATATTGATGATATGAGAATCGAGTCGTATCTTATCATTTCGTGTTGTATTTTGTCATGTTCATGTCTATCTATAAAATTGACACCTTCCATAACCTGTCACTACTATTAGCTAAAGTTTCTAAGAACTGTGGGAAGAAGAAGTTGAGTCAGGCTTCTTCATTCCTCTTTCCGTTTGGGGCTGAAAAGTCTTATCCATGTGCTTTCTGCTATCTCCAATGTGTATAAATAGGCGCACAGGCACAGCACAGCCATAGATTCTTCATATCAAGCACACAAACACAATCATAAGTGCCTGCTAAAGTACTCACCTTCACATTTTCTCAGACCTGTTCCAAATTCTTCATGGCTTTCTTCTCTAACTTCCTCAGCTGCTTCTCTGATTCTGGTAAGGTAGCATGTGAAGGAGACGCTTGGTGTGCACCGAGTAATACAAGCAAAGCCTCAACAACTAATGATTCCAAGTCGAAGAATAGCCCTCCAATTCCGGCGACTAACTTCTCCATTGGAACACAGTTTTCGCGGTTATGAAACACGACACTACAAGGACATATCCAAGAATAGCCCTCCAATTCCGATCGCTTACTTCCCCATCGGAACACAATTTCGCTTATGACGCGTTTTTGTCAATCCATTTCAAGAATAACCCTCCAATTACGATCCCATATGTTTTTATCGGAACACAGTTTTCGCGCTATTTAAACATCGGACATTTCTCTAGACTCCTGTCATCTTCCGCAAGGATACACTGCTCAAGTCATTTCTGAGTGATATCTAAACCATCTTTTCTTCTTTGATTTTCTTTGAAAATTGATAATTGGCTTTAGTGGTCTGTGTTCNTTTGGGGCTGAAAAGTCTTATCCATGTGCTTTCTGCTATCTCCAATGTGTATAAATAGGCGCACAGGCACAGCACAGCCATAGATTCTTCATATCAAACACACAAACACAATCATAAGTGCCTGCTAAAGTACTCACCTTCACATTTTCTCAGACCTGTTCCAAATTCTTCATGGCTTTCTTCTCTAACTTCCTCAGCTGCTTCTCTGATTCTGGTAAGGTAGCATGTGAAGGAGACGCTTGGTGTGCACCGAGTAATACAAGCAAAGCCTCAACAACTAATGATTCCAAGTCGAAGAATAGCCCTCCAATTCCGGCGACTAACTTCTCCATTGGAACACAGTTTTCGCAATTGTGAAACACGACACTACAAGGACATATCCAAGAATAGCCCTCCAATTCCGATCGCCTACTTCCCCATCGGAACACAATTTCGCTTATGACGCGTTTTTGTCAATCCATTTCAAGAATAACCCTCCAATTACGATCCCATATGTTTTTATCGGAACACAGTTTTCGCGCTATTTAAACATCGGACATTTCTCTAGACTCCTGTCATCTTCCGCAAGGATACACTGCTCAAGTCATTTCTGAGTGATATCTAAACCATCTTTTGNGGTAGCATGTGAAGGAGACGCTTGGTGTGCACCGAGTAATACAAGCAAAGCCTCAACAACTAATGATTCCAAGTCGAAGAATAGCCCTCCAATTCCGGCGACTAACTTCTCCATTGGAACACAGTTTTCGCGGTTATGAAACACGACACTACAAGGACATATCCAAGAATAGCCCTCCAATTCCGATCGCTTACTTCCCCATCGGAACACAATTTCGCTTATGACGCGTTTTTGTCAATCCATTTCAAGAATAACCCTCCAATTACGATCCCATATGTTTTTATCGGAACACAGTTTTCGCGCTATTTAAACATCGGACATTTCTCTAGACTCCTGTCATCTTCCGCAAGGATACACTGCTCAAGTCATTTCTGAGTGATATCTAAACCATCTTTTGTTTTTTGATTTTCTTTGAAAATTGATAATTGGCTTTAGTGGTCTGTGTTCGATTAGTCTTTCCGTAAATCCTATAGAAGGAAAATTAAGGTTGTTGCTGGTGTACAAGTTCATTGTTAAAGCATTGTAACAGTTTCTATAATAGATGGATTAATCTGTATTGTTCTTTGCTCATTGTTGTTTGCGTGGACCAAGATTGTAACCAATTGCAAAGGAGACACTGAGAGAATCAGTTAATACTAGGGAGGAACTGGGCAGCTGATCCAAGATAGGCTAGAGAACTTGGTGTTGTACCTTAACAAGTTTCCTTTCTTCAACCCAAGGGTAACCTAGGAGACACGTCAACAAATTGTGAATTTAAATGTATTAAATTTAAAATTTAACAACTTTTTAAGAGTTAAGATCATAAAAAATTTATTTTTTATAAATTTCTTAATTTCGATGATAATATTTTGTTTTTAATTAAATTAAAAAATAATTAATTAAAATATGTATAAATTGACTCTGAATTAAAAAAAAATCTTGTCTTGTAGCGGTGACAGTTGACTTGTCGGTGAGCGTTTTCTTTCATTATCCCCAAATTATCTGGTTCTCTCTCTCTCTCACACACACACACACTGGTGAATCGTTACTTAACCCAAAACAGAAAATAGGTGAAAACCTCTTCACCGACATTCTGCTCAGCTACCTCTTTCTCACTCTTACCAGTTTTCATTCATTGCCATTAAATTGTACGATTTGTCGGCTCCCCATGGGCACTCACTACAACGCTATTCTCAGACCTAGTGGTTCTCTCTAAAACTCATCAACAAAACAGTCTCTGATGAATCTCTGTTTGTATTACTCTGCGCATAGGGTCTTCCCAGTTTGGTATAACAAACCATGGCGTTGAAAGCTGTATCAATCTGTATTTGTGCCAACCAATCTATTTCTCATTTGGGTGTCACGGATTTGGGGTGTAGGCGTTCTGGGTCAGTCTTGAATTTGAGGTTTGAGAGAAAATGGGAGTGTTGTGGTGCGTCGGCTCAGAGGAAACCACAGGCACCTGTATTGGGTTTGCAAGATGGGAGTGAACTGACTCATATAACTGAAACCAGGGGGTTTCACAAGGATTTGAACTCTTTACCTAGTGAGTTAGCTCAATTCCAGTTGTTGACATATGAAGACATGTAGTGTAGATGTTTGTATGTTGGTTTTGGTAGTAATTTAAGGATATGAACTTGATTATACGATGTTAACTTTTGTAGCCTTAAAATAGATTGTATTTTCACCCTAGTTCCACCTGAAAATAAATATCGGTTATTGGGAAATACATAGAGTGGTGTGTAATGATCTGTACTGTTGATTGTTTTTTACGTGGGACTTATGTAGATCCACTGGAATTTAGGTCATTTGGGGTTTTTGTAATCATTGGGGTGTTTCTTTTGGGGTAACATTTGTATTTTGGATTGTACTTTGGTTGTATGCATCGGTGGAAGCATTATGAAAACTTGTTTTGGGATTTTGAAGCCATTTATTATTCCATTATCCACATTTCCAATATGAAAAGGATCATGGTCATGCATTCGAAAAATTCCTGGTTTAAGTGGTTTCACTTATCATTTTCTACAAGTGCATAAGGTATATCTTTGAGTTTCGGAAATAGTTTATTTGTTGGAAGTTTCTGAATATCTTGCTTTTGCCCATAATGAAACAAAAGGAAAATCCAGTGGTGCAATATCATAGGATGTGAACTGTTTGTCCTTTAGATCAGTTAATTGTCTGAGATGGTTTTTAAAAATCAAATCACCCTCGATTTGTCATTTGCAATGTTGTAACCCATTTCGAGGTTCCCAATAAGAACTTTTAGAATCTCCTTTTGTTAGTTGCATCGTGTTTTCGTTGGTTAAAACAATGAAAGTCTTTTTTTTTCCATAATCTCTCACTAATACAATGCAACTTCAAATGTGATCATGTCAAGTTTCCTATTTGTTGTGGGACCATTTATTTGGCTGTTCTTTATTTCCTTCATCTGTGTTTAAGTTCAATGTCATTAGTAAAATGTGTCAATAAATTGAAGGACCCTTGACTGCAATGGATCTCTCTTCTTTTCCTCGCGACGGTGTGAAGGTGCGGGTTGCTTATCAGGTGGGACGTAATAAAGTCTTTTTCTCTTTCATGAACCCAACTTTGTTGTTATTCTTACATTGGTTTTGTTGCCTAATATAGGGGCTTTCAGGTGCATATAGTGAGGCTGCTGCACTTAAAGCTTACCCAAAGTGTGAGACAGTCCCTTGTGATCATTATGAGGCCACATTCAAGGTTTATTTGCGTTTGAATGTACACTCTAATTGTGTTCAATCAGTTTTCCCTTTTGTTCCACCTTCTTAGTCCTGATTTCATTTCACAGGCAGTTGAGTTGTGGTTAGTGGACAAAGCTGTGCTTCATATTGAGCATTCTGTAGGTGGAAGCATCCACCGTAATTATGACTTACTCCTTCGTCATAGGTTGCATATAGTAGGGGAAGTGCAGTTGCTTGTTAATCACTGCCTTTTGGGGTTGCCTGGCGTTAGAAAGGAGGAGCTAAAACGTGTTTTGAGCCACCCTCAGGTGATCATTTCTTTTTTCTTTACTTATCAATTTAGACATAGTATTCTCCCCCCACAAAGAAAAAAAAGCACACAAGAACATGATTTTTTTTTTCTAGTTAGTTAAAAGATAAGTTACTATTGTGCCTGGCCTCCTGTTCTATATGGGAAGGCATGGTTCATATCTATGTGTAGACAAAATGTTAGGCAGCTCTTTTTAATGTTCATAACTTTAAATTGCATCTGATAGCAAGTCGAAGCTGCTTAATGGTAGCGAGGATAACGGAACACTTTAGATAGCCGATGATAGTGGTACTAAAAGCATCTTCCAAAATGTTTTAAGTAATCTTTTGGCTACCCGACGTTTGGACATCAGGATGGATGGACTGCATAAGTAGGTTGAGTCTATTATGTTGTTAACATTTCTTTTTTAAATCACATGAAACCCTTCATTTTAATGAGTAAATTATCTTGTTTGTAGGCACTTGAGCAATGTGAGATTACACTAAACAAATTAGGTGTTGTCAGAGTTAGTGCTGATGATACTGCCACTGCTGCTCAGGTAATCTGCGATAGTCTTCGTATCCTATTTCAGGTTTATTGTAAATTGCTTTTATGTTTTAACTTTGGGACAGATTGTAGCCTCTGAAGGCCTGAGAGAAACTGGAGCTGTTGCAAGCGCTCGAGCTGCAAAGATCTATGGCCTTGACATTCTTGCAGAAAAAATCCAGGTATAGATGTTACCAAACTATAAGACCAATGATTCACTGGTCCAATGGTATTTCTCCATTTTTGTGTGAGCTTCTCATCTGATCCTGTCTTCACTGTGTGTTTTGAGAGAATGGGTGACGATATTTCACAGCTCATAGGCTTCTATCTGTTTTCTTTCAGAGCATAATTTAGTGTTGTACATTGGTCTAGTGCTTGTTTTGAATGTCTACATTGTCTAACTGTGTAATGTCTACATTGTGTAACTGTATAATTTATGGATGTGGCACCACAGTAATTGTCAGCTTGTCTGTAGCTGGATAGGCCTAAGACTATAAATTTCTAGCTTTAGATAGCCCAAAAAGTAGGAAAAGAGACAGGAAAAAACTCTGGAAGCACAAAACTATTTGATTAGGTGGTATTCTTATACCTTTCTACTTTTTGATGTGTTACTGGTGTATGAGGAGTTTGCTGATAGATGGGATCCTTATGTAGAACAAGGTAACCCTTAGTTGGAAACATCCGACATCAGGCAGGCTTGCAAACCAGCAAAATTTGCCAAAAAAATATAAAGTTGTCTCATATGTCAGTTGTTACTATTTTTAACTGGTGATTATAATTGATGGCATTTTCTCTTTAATTTGGTTTAATTCTACAATGCATTGACCAGGATGACTCCGATAACATCAGTCGTTTTCTGATACTTGCAAGGGAACCTATAATCCCGGGGACTGACAGACCTCATAAGGTGTTGTACTACTCTTTATTCTGGCTAATATGATAATGTACTTGTATGAAAGCAAGTTAAAGAAGATTTTCTTTTTCCCTTCCCAGACAAGCATTGTTTTCACTTTAGAAGAAGGCCCTGGGGTACTTTTCAAAGCCTTGGCAGTGTTTGCTCTTAGGGACATTAATTTGTCAAAGGTAAGAGTTTGGTTCTGCAAACAGTTTTTTCTTTTATTAAAATACTCTGACTATTTTTGTGTCCAAAATGTAAGTACAGATAGAGAGCCGACCACAGAGAAATCGTCCTTTACGGGTTGTTGATGACTCCAACCAGGGGAGTGCCAAGTGAGTGCTATTTTCCTGTAGNTTTCTAGCTTTAGATAGCCCAAAAAGTAGGAAAAGAGACAGGAAAAAACTCTGGAAGCACAAAACTATTTGATTATGTGGTATTCTTATACCTTTCTACTTTTTGATGTGTTACTGGTGTATGAGGAGTTTGCTGATAGATGGGATCCTTATGTAGAACAAGGTAACCCTTAGTTGGAAACATCCGACATCAGGCAGGCTTGCAAACCAGCAAAATTTGCCAAAAAAGTATAAAGTTGTCTCATATGTCAGGTGTTACTATTTTTAACTGGTGATTATAATTGACGGCATTTTCTCTTTAATTTGGTTTAATTCTACAATGCATTGACCAGGATGACTCCGATAACATCAGTCGTTTTCTGATACTTGCAAGGGAACCTATAATCCCGGGGACTGACAGACCTCATAAGGTGTTGTACTACTCTTTATTCTGGCTAATATGATAATGTACTTGTATGAAAGCAAGTTAAAGAAGATTTTCTTTTTCCCTTCCCAGACAAGCATTGTTTTCACTTTAGAAGAAGGCCCTGGGGTACTTTTCAAAGCCTTGGCAGTGTTTGCTCTTAGGGACATTAATTTGTCAAAGGTAAGAGTTTGGTTCTGCAAACAGTTTTTTCTTTTATTAAAATACTCTGACTATTTTTGTGTCCAAAATGTAAGTACAGATAGAGAGCCGACCACAGAGAAATCGTCCTTTACGGGTTGTTGATGACTCCAACCAGGGGAGTGCCAAGTGAGTGCTATTTTCCTGTAGAGCAAGTTAGCTATGGTGGATACCACTGAAACTTAATTGGAGTGATATATAGATTTGTGAAGGAATTGTTAGGCCAAAAGGAATCGAAAAAGAAACAAAATTGTGCTAACCCATAAAAAAGGGCAAAACTATAGTGCACAAGACTAGAATCATCTTACATATTTTTCAATTGACAAATGTGTAAAGGAAGTGCTAACTTCGGTCCTCAAATGCTGTGAAAGACAATGGAATGATTCTATTAGCTCCATGAATTCCACCGAAAGTTGTTGTGTAATTGTTCCTACCTTTATCGCTGCTGAAAATGTTGGGCGTAAAAAGGTTGAAATCTTGATGATAAACCTTTCCAATTTTGAGAATCTGAGGGAATCTAAATTCTCCTCTAGACTAAACCTTTTGCATGCAGGTATGTGGCTTAGTTGAAATATTAATTATTGAGGACTACAACACCTACAAACTAGAGATTAACTTTACAAAGCCTTTGTAGTAGTGACCTGAGTCAGCGAGGCCCTCTTCTGAAGAAGCTAAAGTGACCAAAAGTGGTAAAAAGACATGATACAACATATAGGTCTATTTTACTTGTCCTCAAGTTGTTTCAGCTGATAAATGCAGGATTATGCCAGTCATTATTGTACGATATTGGAAGAGAATGGCTCTTCCAGAAGTCAGTCCTGAAATATATGTACTTGCATTTTATAGAAGTGACTTGAGTTCTGGTGGCAGGTACTTTGACTACCTATTCTTCATTGACTTTGAAGCTTCTATGGCGGAGCCTCGTGCCCAATATGCTCTGGGGCATCTGCAGGTCAGTCCTTTATGGTTCATGGTCTCTGATAAAATCGATTCTCCTTGTTATTTTTGTGCTATCTGATTATCATTTTTCGCATTTTCAGCAAGCAGTCCTTGTTATTCTTTAGCTTTGTCGTGATTTTGGTTTATGAATATGTTGGTGTGTACATTGTTGTATTGGTGTCTTTTTTGTATAGATTTGTAAGGTTTGGATGGCATGCAGTCTTGGGATCATAGAAGGCTCTTCACCCAATTCTGCTTTTTGGTTGTGTTGATTGTTTTTATCTCCTCCATTTATAATATTGTACGCTCATGTATATACCCCTTCTTACCCATTAATTTCCTTTCCGATTGAGGAAAAAAAAACTTAAAGGTTGTTATATCCCCATTATATGTGGTCTCATTTTGTATGTATGGAATTTTATCCCCACAATGCATTTGTTTCCTCTCTTTTGGCATTTCTCATTCTGTATTTAAGTTTTTTGTGCTTGTCTTGCATGTGCGTCTTTCGGTTGATAAATTATGTGCTAACCAGCATGGTTCTTTCCCAGCTAGAGGATATAAAACTATTCATTTGGGTTACATACTGTAAACCCATTTTCAACCTTGTAAAATGACTGATTCCTGTAAATATCATGGCTGCAGTTATATTTGGTATGTTGGTCTGTTAGTAAAGCTCAATTTTGAGAGGTACTCCATTATTTCTNATATGTGCTAACCAGCATGGTTCTTTCCCAGCTAGAGGATATAAAACTATTCCTTTGGGTTACATACTGTAAACCCATTTTCAACCTTGTAAAATGACTGATTCCTGTAAATATCATGGCTGCAGTTAAATTTGGTATGTTGGTCTGTTAGTAAAGCTCAATTTTGAGAGGTACTCCATTATTTCTAAACTGTTCCCACATGTTCTTTTTTGTTTTACAGTAAAAAAGAAATTGATTTTTGAGTGTTTTTTGACTGATCTGTGTGCACGGACATTCACACACATGTACACGCATTAGAAACAATAGGCATATAACTGTTTCATATTTGTGTGCATGCATATGTAGTATGATATTTGTTACTTCTTTTTGCAGGAATTTGCAAGATTCATTCGTGTCCTTGGTTGCTACCCTATGGACACAACTTTATGAAGATGAATGCACTCCTTGGAGTCGGTTCTCCGATATGTATTTGGCTTGTCAACTTGCAAGTAATTCAATGTCCCACTTTGTAGATAATTCTGATCCTGTTGAATAAGTTGTAGGAAGAATTTTCCCTGCCTCTGGTGAGAACTTTGCAGACTAGGATGTATGTCACTTAAGCAATATGTTTTCGATTTTTCTCTTTAATTTTTTTTCACATTCCTCGTGGAAGTGTCTTTGTGATTTGTTCAAATAATGAATAAAGGCCCAATTTCGGATGATTTCCCCCAGAATTCCATGACTCTGCTCCACAGTATGATTCACATGTCCTCTCTTTCGTAAACAAACCGTTTAAAAAAGAGAGATTTTGGCTTGACTATGACTCTTTTTTGGAAGTTGTCTCTACCTCTTGGAAACAACTGGCATGGGGATCCCTGTTATACTGTTTCGTTTTCAAATTGAAACGACTTAAAGAGGGACAAAGTGCTCTCCGGCCATTCAGGTTGACCTTATAATGCTACAAGTAAGTTTGGCATGGCATGGTTCAAAGTATGAGTCGATATTGATACGAGTCGGGCTGAATTATATTCGATTCGGCACCTTCTAAAACGATACTATTAGATGATACATATAAATCTTGAGTCTTGCATGACTCGGCTGAGTTAATTTTGAGTCATCGAGATATCGTCACCGAATTAACGAACACAGTTTTGCAACGTCACAGTATAATTTAAAGCTCTCGTCATGTTAACAAAAAAAATTTAGGTCGTATCGTCCGATACCGCACTACAACGCCACAACCAATGTGTTTTAGAGATCTCCGAGTTGATGATCATGCATGACTCCTTGTTGGCTTGTCTAAACTCGTTTTCTACATTCATCAATCTAAATGAATATCATATAAGGTCCAAAAGAATTATATTGGTTCATCAATCTAAATGAGTAAGGTCCAAAAGAATTATATTAAGACTTGAGCTGAGTTTTTTTCTCGACCTTAATGGGTGTACAAGTTTAGAGGATCGACCCAAATCCAATCTAAGCTATCCCAAAAATATTTCGGGCAAAATTTTTTAATATGTGGGTTGAATTGGAACAATTAAATCTCAACTCAATCTACAATCGAACAGTTTTCGGATTGAATCTCAAGCGCTCAAGACTTGACCTAGACTCCTTCAATTTTCACTACTTCATGTTCAATTCGTATCTTGCTGCAACGAAACAAGCTTATGAATGAATCTAATGAAAATTCAGGTCCTTGTCTGCTTGGAAGATTTTTTATGATTCCCCCTTCGGTGAAAGAGGGCAAAGGGGGTGTGGGAGAGAATTCTAAAAGAAAAGAAGATTTCTTCCCCCAAATGGGACAGGGTGAGACACATTGGCAATTGGGGATGAATCAAATTTCAATCAGACTACAATACCACAAGAGTCCGCTAAAATCAAAGAAGGTATACCTACCATTGATAATAAAAACTA